ACCGCCAACTTGATGTATAAATTAACCGTAACTGCTGGAAGTCAACGCTTACTGAGAAAGCGCTGGCTATCAGGGTTAAATAGAAATCTGTGGGTAAACTAGATAAATAGGTTATCACAGTATGGTCATTTTTAAATATTTTAAACTTTACTAATAAGAATAAGATTAAATTTAACATTTTTATACTAATATATTGCGCGAACCAACTAAGTAGCATTATCATGATAACATTTAAATATAGTTTATCACATATTCAATTTAGTCTTAATTAGAGACTTAGCTATGCAATTCAAAGTTAAAAATAGTATACAATTCAGTTTGAAACTAAACATAAATATGAAGTGAAAATAACGTAACAAAACAAATATTTATATACAACTGTACTTAAACATACAATGATTGACGACTTATAAGCAATTCGCTAGATAAATCTTTTAATAGACGATAAAAATTTGCACAAACAATTCAAAATTCCCTGGCTCAAGTTTCCTAAAAGAAATTCTACGCTCTAAGGGGCATGGCCCGTGTATATTCCCTACAGTCGCAAGTGTTATGCTTCCATCTAGTGGATGTTATTTTTATTTATTGAAAACTTTACTTACTGTAGTTCTTTTGCCCGGGAGTATTAAAATACTCGGTTTCAGCGCGGGAAAGGAATAATTTTAAATAAAAGAATTCTATTTAGACGTTATTTAATTATTTAATTTTGATCAAAATTATTTAAATTATTTAGTTGGTTTTAATTTATTATTCAAGTTGACAAAATATTAAAAAGCTTCAAAATATAAAATTGAGGTTTACAATGACGTGATCTTAGCAATCTAAGCTCTCAATGAGAAGTGTCGTTACACAGTTTTTCCGAAGAGCTTCAAACTCCGTTCTTCTCCCACCATAACTCCCATACATACATCCACTCTAAGGAATACATAAGTACACACATTTTCTACTACATATAAATGATCCTTATACACTAACATGTATTTTCTCTATATCTATATATATTTATTTCAGCCTATCGGCCTGAAAGTTGGACTTCACTAATATACACTTTTAGCAATACAGTCATTATGTTTATCTAACTATTTTTATTAATTTAACAAACCCTTTTAAAATCTATTTATAATAAAAATTAACTTATAATTAACTTGAAATTAAGTTGCAATAAAATTATAATAAACTATAACATGAAACTATATATATTATATTATTTATAATATGTTGGACTAATGTTAGAGTTTGAATAACTAATAATTTGAATCAAATATTATTTCTATCGGATTTTCTAATAAAATTATAAGTCGGTTTAATTGTTATCATGTATAAAAGAATAGACATTATCATTTAATTATAAATTAAATAATAAATAAATAATGATTAAATAATAAATCAATAGTAAATTAACTAAATAATAATTATTAATTACAAATTAAATACAAGATAATAATTATTAATTATTTTAACTCAATTTTGCTTAACTACAATATTATATAAAGTTAGATTTTAACAGTAAATGTTATTTAACAATATTATTTTTGTTTAGTTACATATGTTTTTTTTTATTACTCTTTGTTACTTTTAGAACAAGGGTCTGTTGAGTTTCACACGTGTCTTTTACGACTTTTCCTCATAGGGTTTTAAATTCCATGTGGCGAGAAATAGTCCTTGAATTACTCAAGTACCTTTTATGGGTTCTGAAAATCCGGTTACAATGTCCTTTTGTACCTAAATATGTTTTTCCCTTTTTTTTTTATTTTATTTTATTTTCTTTTGTAAACAAAACAGATTTAACCAAAAGATGTTTATTACAACTAGTAAGAGTAAAAGCATTAAATAAATGATTTGAATATTTACTTCGAATATAAAATTTAACTAATTTTAATCATTTAATATTTACTAATTTGAATATTTCATTTGAATTCGCGGTCTCATAGTAGATAGCGCTCTAATAAATCGATTAACTGTTGTTGAGTTACAAAAAAATTCAATAGTAATTGATTCTGAGTCAGAAAATGACTTAATCAAATATTTATCAGCATCACAATTGATTATAGTTTTCCTTATACTTCTATTACACTTCAAAAGATGATTCTTAAAGATAAATATTTATTAAAAAATGATACCTTAAAACCCATTTGATATCTTACCAAAATGCTCGATAACTCCAGAAATCTGTTTCCTTCAAAATTTACGTTCATATTCGGTATCAGAATAACACCGTTGAAAAACATAAAATACAAAAATGACAAAATCCATTTACGTGCAATCATTTTAAAAAAATTACTCTACTGTTGTTATTGACAGTGGTGCTTCACCATAAACAACTCGGCGAATGTAATTGTCTATTATCTAGAGCTTTTAGATTCGATCAGTGTTTTATACTAAAACCAATATACATATACTCCTATAAGTATGAATCATGTCAAATAAGCGGCATACTTCCGTATTTACTGTTTATACTGATCCTGACGAGATTGTCATTGGAATAATTAAAAGTATCATTAGCACAGTGCAAATAAACAGGTCATTCATGATAAATATTTTCACATAAAGAGAAAAAATGTCACGATAATCGTTGATCTCTATTATAAGCATCTTTAAAATGACTTAATTATTTGATTAATGGAGTGACTGTTTTATTGATAAAACACACTTCAAAATTTCACTCTCACCAGAGTTTAAGTTTACGCTACGCCATGTGAATTTAAAATCCTCAAACCCACACGATATTGACCAAAACTGTTATGGATGCAATTTTATTAAAAATCAGTAATCAGTAAATAAGATTTACAAAAATCAGTAAATGAGATTTAAAATAGTTATTTTTTCACTTCAAGGCAAGCTCATATAAAATTAATATCTTTGCACCAGAAACTTGCAGTAGACAGTTGCGCATGATTTGAAAAGGGGATAGAGTAAGAGATACATTCAAATTCTGGTGTAAGACTTACATAAGACTTGCAATTTAAATCTGCCACAACTATCTGCAACCCTTTTGAAAAATCGCTATATGAAATAAAATTTTATAGAGGTGATCTTCTAATATTTTCTTCTATATTTAATATTAATTTTCAAAACATTTATTTACTTTCACGGAAATACAGTGGCGTCTACATTAAATCTATTATTTACTATTTTCCCTTTTACAATTGATAATATTTGAAACTTGAAACATATTGTTTAAATGATACTAAATTTGATTACCGATCAAGAATTACTGTAAAAATATGCATGATAAAAAAAACATAAAATCGACTATAGACGATGATACTCTGTACCATATGTAAATTTAGTACAGTACCAATTGTTGAAATATTTTCATTGCTAAATTATAATTAAATTTTCTTCTCTGTACACTTTATAAAAATCAGCTACGGATATAATATAAAAATTGTAAAGAAAAGGGCTTTTAACCACAGTCGAGGTTGCATTAAAATATAGAATTTAAAACAATGTAAACATACTGTAATGATAAACTGGAGAGTTGAAAATAGCGTTTTGTTGAAATTTTATGATAAAATTAAATATCTATAATATATAATGCTATAGCATTATTTTTAAAATACAAATCGATCAAACTGACTTTGATAAAAATGGCATTCAAATATTACCTGTCATATGTTCATAACTTACCTGGATTTTTTTAATTTTTTTTTTTTTTTTTTTTTTTTTTTTTTCTAGAGGGTACTAAAGAATGTCTATAATTGAAGAAATGGAAAATTCAAATTTTTTAATCTGACTTAATATAGCGCGGAATAACTTATTTTATTAGATTACACTTGATATTAATTTAACTCTAGTTTAATCTGTTGATATAACATTCATACAAATATTTTATTTGAATATGATTTTTCATATTATTTTATTAATAGAAGCTACTGCTTTCAATGACTATATAAAAATTATAATTATAATACATACAAGCAGTTGAAAAGAAATTAACAGTAATATGTCTTCTATTTGAACTATTATCTTATAGGTGAGATATTAGAAAAAATAAAACCTAAGAATATTTGATAAATTATAAGCTACTTATTTTATTTATATTCCGTTGAATAAATGTAAGTGAAACTTATAAATTTTATCATTTCGTTTTACTTATAAAAAAAAACATTTATAATTTACAAAATTAAAACATAAAATTAAATCAATTAAATTTAGTTGTTTTACATTGTTCTTTAATTTATTATACATGAACCACTGCAATATTAAATTGGAATTATTTATTTATACATTACTAATTATTTATTGATTCGTTAATATACTTTGTATATATTTATATGATGATACTAAAATAAAATAATTTGCAACGTAAATAGTACTTTAATTGAAAACTTCCTATCATTTTATATTAATAATGAATAATGAAATGACACATGAATGAAAATTTAAAAAAATAACAATGATTCAAATAATCATTATAATAATGATCAATCAAACATCAATCGTCGAATTTAACCAAACAAATATGGATAAATATATATATTTTATGCATATATATATATTTTCATTTATTTCTATATTTACACACAGCCACATTTTATTCTGAATACCTACAATAATTTACAAAGTTCACTTTTTGGTAGTAATTTCATTCGCTCATTATTTCCATTGCTTCTCAATATTAAATATCAGAATATGAAAAATATTTATATCATTCATTTATTTTCTCATATTTTTTTTTTCTTTCTTCGCATTATATTATTTACAAACGAAGTAATTGCTCGTAGGAGCATAATAAAGTGTCATAAGTATGTCATACTAATGTTATTCGCTGCTTTCTTATATATTTACAAAAAAAAATGTCGCATAAATTTATCGAAGTTTTGGGGTATTTATAGTACTCAATGTTTTATGGAACTGCTATAAACTATTACAATGATAGGATATAAATGATTCATTTGAAAATGATTAATATCAAAAAATCACTAATTTAAAAAATTTATCTTAAAATAATTTATTATTGTTTATAAATTTAATGAGTCAATAAAACTTACATCTATTCAGTCCGAAGTTTCTTGACTCCATCTTGATTTCACTCTTGGAGTTTTTATGTGTGATAAAGGACTATCATCATCGTTTACTTTACGTTTCATAGACATAATACCACTTTGCGAAACACCTTTTTGAAGTGTTAACGTGTACGCATCAGACGTAGGTGGTGTGACGGAAGGGAATGTTGGAAGTTCTTCATCTTCAAGTCCTGGAGGTTTTGGTTGTTCCGAAATACGACTCATTTGTACTGATTCTGTTAATTTTGGCGGGTATGTTGATTCTGAGGAATCGATGGATGAGGTGGAAAATTCGGAATTAGCTATTTCAAATGGTTGAACAGAATTTAATGTTTGCATGTTTGGTACAGGCATTATTGGAGCTGGTGTAACCGCAGCGAGTTCTTCTTCGGCCTTTTTTATAAGATCAAAATCACTCAATGATCGCAATGTACTTTTACTTTCTTTAGTAACAGCAGTTGGAGTGTAAGTTTTTTCTTTTTGATAATTTAATGAATTAATCGAAGTTAAAAATGAAGCACTCGGCTTTGAAGGTAAATAAGGGTCAAATTTGGAACATTCTTGACGCTTAACATTTGCCAAAATCTCTTGAAGATTCGGTGGTATCGTAATATTTGAAACTTTATCAAGAATTGGCTGTGTAAATTTGGAAATACCTTGAGGAGGTGGAGTAAAAGAACGTACATCTGTAGGGCTATATGCTTCATTTAAGTCATTATCTGAAGGATCTAATCCCAGGCCCGGTAAAGTAGGAACTGATTCACCAAGAAAAGATGAACTGATACTTTGTATTTGCTGTTTCTGTTCTTCGATTTGCCGATTAATTTCATCCATTTTTCTTTGAAGTTCATTTGAATTCTTTGATGGTGAAAGTAAATTATCATCAATATCATCATCAATATCACCAGGACTGTATGGCTCATCATCATCATCTTTTTCTAGAAGTGGTTTTTCAGAAGAAGTCAAGTCAATTTTATCTGAAAGTTCAGGAACTATTTTGGATATAGTTGCACTGTCTATTATTTTTCTTGATACTCCAACATGTGTTTTATTAAATGAATTCACTGTTAACTGATTGGTTGTAGATTTTTCACCAATAACATCTGTTGAATTAACGAGTTTATCTGTTGCAATATTAACAGGTGGTGGAGTATAACTGCGATCAGAATCTTTTTTTGGAACTTTAGGTAACAATGGTATCGAAAGTGTATTATGAGATAATCGCTTTCGTTTATTTTGTACAATTATACCAAGTAGTAAATGAGGTCTCTGTTCTTCAAGACCAACGCCATTAAGAGGGAATAGTACAGGTGGTAGTTGACTTTGACTTGAAAAAGGCATTATATAAAAATCTTTGATATTTTTTGAAACATTTCCAACAACGCCTAAACGACTTCGACTATTTAAATAACTGTAAAGAGTTATATATGGAATTTTTTCTTCGTCATTAGCTGCTGTAAATCTTATAATAACGATTTCTTTAGAACCAGTTTTTTTCATTTTTGAAATATAGTCCCATACAGTTTCATGACTAATTCTTCCAACAACTTCGAAGGTATCTGGTAGATCTTCCATGAGTTCTTTTGCCTGTCCACTAACTTCTTGAGCTGTTATAAAGAACTTAGCTACATCTATCATGTTAATGAATCCTCGCCAAACCGTTTGAGAGACATTTTTTGTTGAATCTTTAGCTATAACTATAGATTTAGACTCTATTATAGTATCTTTCTCTTTTTCCAATTCATCATTCATATCTACACTTTCAAGATTGACTGTCGAGCTTGGTTCTCTATCAGATACGTCAGAGTCATTGCCATCTAATGTATTAGCCGTAGTTTCTTCTTCAACGTGTCTCCACAAACGATCTTCAGTTAATTTACCAGTTTGAACAGGAGATGTTTCTTTCTTTTTGCTTTCATCTCGTTTTGAATCATCTACAAGTTCATTTCGTTTTTTTTCTTTATCTTTGTATTGTTTTTCCTTATGACTACTTTTACTGTGTGAACTACTTCTGCTTTTGCTACTTTTTCGTGATCGATCTTTGTCTTTTGATTTATTTTTATTTTTATCTTTATCTTTATCTTTATCGCGATCACGTTCGCGACTTCTTTCTTTATCACGTTTTTCGTCTTTACTTCTTCTTCTATCGCGATTTCGATCTTTACTACGATGCTTCCTTTTACTAGAACTTGTTTCTTTTTTTGAGTCTTTATCATGTTCTTTATTTTTTCTTGATCTATGACCATCTTTTTCTTTTTCTCGATCTTTACTTTTCGTTTGTTTGTCATCATTACGTTTTATTTTTTTTACATCTTCAAATGACGAAGACAAAGTGTCTTCTTTTTCATCTAAAGTATCTAAACTTGTATTATCTACATTATTTAAAACAGTCACGATATCTTGAACAGGTGTTTTTGGATCTACAGCCTCTATGCCACCATCATTCTCAATTATTTGTTCACCTTTGTGAGTTTTAACAACAATTGATTTCGCTTGAGCCATAAGATCCAATTCGTTTTTTTTAATCATTTCTAGTTGGTGCTGCGTTTCTTTTTCTCTCCATTCAGCTAATTCCTGACTTGCCATTTCTTCAGGACTTAATTTTACTACTGCATCAGGCGTCAGAGATTTATCAGCTATTTTTCTGAATAATGTCAAATTTTTAGAATCTTTTATATTGAATAGAAGACTTCTGTATTTTGCTTTATATTTGGCTCCAGTATCTCGAAAATATTTGTACATTTCTAACTCAATTTTTAAAGCAAGATTCTCAATTTCTTCTTTGCTTAATCTCAAATCGTCTGTCTCTTTAATTCTGGTTGATAACAATTCTGTCAATGTTTTACGAACATTTAACCTTATTGTTGGTTCAGGTTCTGACTTTTTCAAATTTAAAGATTTTTGTGGCGTCTTTGCCGGTGGTGTTGAACACTTTGGTTCCTGTTTTTTAACTGGAGTTTGTTTTATTACTATTGGAAGGGTTTTGTTTTGATTCACCACATTTTTCAATGTTGTTTGTTTCAATATGGGTTGACTTTTATTTGAGCTAACAAGAATTTGTTTTATTTGCCCACTTTTTGAAATAATATTTGCATTTTGTAAATTAGAAATCACAGTTACTTTTTTATTATTAGATGTCAATACTGTTTGTTTTGAACCGACAACTTTAGTAAAAACCATTTTTGGTTGAACAGTTTTTGATTGTTGTTGATTGGGTTTAACCATTTTGCCTGGACTTGATGTTTGAATTGCTGAAACCATTTTATCACCGATTTGCAAAATATTCAAATTACTTGATCGAGCAACTTCAAACGTTGGATGTTCTTTCAACCATGCCTTTAAATTAGATGCCATCGGTGCATCAACGCCAGTTAAAACTGTTCCAGTTTTTTTTTCAAAAACTATAACTCTAGCCTCTGAATTGGATTTTGAAGTATCACTCAAAGATAATTTAAGTTTTGATGAAACAGATTGAACAACTTGCTTGTCTTTAACTGATGTTTCTTCAGCATGAGTAAGAATACAAGCATCGGAGCAATAAATACTAGATGATCTTGCTTCTTTTTTACACACAACACACTGGGTAACTGCAAGATTTGATAAAGCATTTTGTTTAACATTCAACGCTACTTCAACTTGTCCATCAGACGATTGTGTTAATGAAGTTTCTGTATTTGAAATTTGTGTATGAGATTCTGTCTTAGGCGATTTTATTGTCAATGATTTGGTTATTGTTGATGCAGGTTGTACTAATTTTTTCTTGGTACAGTTTGGACAAACCCACTCTAGTCCTTTTTCTTCCATTTGTTTACCCGTCGTTTTAGTCACATTAACACATTTTCCATGAAACCAATCTTCACATACATCGCAACAAATCATAAATCGATTGTTATGTGGCTGTTTGCAAATACACCAAAGCCGATTAGGGTCATCTTCGGAGTCAGAATTTTCTTCTTCATCATCATCTTCTATTTCAGATTCCATATCTTCTATTTGATTAGCTTGTGTAATTTGTTTCTTAACTTTGTCACTTTTTTTTTCATCATCCGGTTTTGAAGACGACTCAAATTTAACTTGTAACTTTTTACTTCTTGTTGCTGGTGCTTCAATAGGTGGTAACGTTATTATTCTTCCACCACGAAAAATTTGTGATGGTGGTTCTTTAATATTCTTTTTCTTCAACTGCTCTGCTTCATGAGAATCAGCTAAATTATCAATATTTGTCACTCTTTCGACTGTTTCATCTAGAAAAGATTGCGTGGTAATAGCTGATAATTTTTCTGTATTGAAACTCGTTGTTCCCAGCAACGAATCCGGAACGACATTAGTTGATTCATCTAACGTTGCCTAAAATATTAAAAATAAAATAAATATTTTAATGATTAAAAAAAAAAATTAATTTTATTCAAAGATATCTTACAGTATCTGTTAAGTCCACATCAAGTTGCTCTTGAAGTAGTAATGCCTCTGCAAGTAATTCTTCTTCATGTTTACTAGCTTCCATTTCTAATGTTGCAAGAAGATGTTCTGTTTCTTCCATTCCATCTATGAAAGAAAAATTTTTTCTTTATCAAATATAACTATATTAAAAATTGAATATTTATTAGGATTAAAAAAAAATAAATAAACATCGATATGAAACGTTAAGAAAACAAAATTATACAAAAGAAAACTTACTTTGATCAGAAACTATGTTTTGAACAGAATCATCAGATTTTCTAATTTCTTCATTAATTACAGTTTGTGATGCTAAGAAAATATTAAAAAATAAAAATACGCCTTTTATTTTCATGATTTATATTTTAACGAAAATTAAAAATAAAAAAAAAAAAAAACAACAACAACAATAAAAATTTAAGTTATAGGCTTACCAGGATCTAAAGAGAGATCATCAGTAACAGGTAATTTGGATATACTTTTTTCTTCTAGACTGTCGGAATCAAACATTATAGTTGAAACATCTGAATTAATTAGGGATTGAGATAGTAAATTGTTAGTTTCAGCTGATACTTCTGGATTAAGAGTTTCAATATTAGATTTAAAAGGAACATCAGATGACACAACCGTCGAGGATGTTAAAGTTGATCCTGAAGCATTAGAGATAGATGTTCCTGAACTAAATGATACATTTGAATCGTGTCCTTTAGATTCATTATTTGAACCAACTCTTCTGATGATATCAGGAGTAGAAAAGAGTGCTGGCTCCAAGGAACTTACAGAAGTACCAAGAGATTTTCGGAGATCTTTTTTAATCTGTTTTTTAACTCCATCAGATGGTTTCACATCTGATATTGTTTTTAAAGGTTCTTCTAGTTTTGGACATGGTTCATAACTACCTTCAAGCTTTTTTTTATCTTTTTTTACTTCTATAGTCGGTTTAATTTTAATTGACGACGTAACAGGTGAAGATTTAATTAGTTGTTTCTGTACAAGTTGAGTATATGCCGGAGATTGTGTCGATGGAAGTACTATCGTATTTATATCAGCATCTGATTGGATAACTTGTGGTGAATTATTTACAATAGACTTCGGCGTTACTGCCATCAATTTGCCATGTTGAGAAGTTATAAGCTTAGTCTGAATTTGGTTCGCAGATTTATTAAGATCTTTCGATGCAATTGTAAAAGTTGACTTCATGTCTTCGGGTTTATCAATGACTTTCTTTTTAATAAAATAAACTTTTTGATTTTTTAATTGACCTGGTTTTGTTAAAATCATATCACCTTTTATCATGTTTGCATTTATGAGATTTGCTTTTGCTTGGTTTGTTGTTTGTAAATTGTTTTCAGGAACAACTAATAATTCATCAGAAGATTGATGTGTTAAAGATCCTTCCTCTTTCTTTTGATTAGGATTAATTTTAATTTGCTTTTTTAATTGACTCTCAGACAAATAGTCATCTGCTGCTGATTTTTCTGAATGCTTCATTGTATTAACCACTGCAGCCATTTCACTATCATGTTTACGTGTTTGATCAATGTCCATTCGTTTGCTTGCACCACGTCTTCTTGTTGCTGACATGCTACCACCACGAGTAGTAAGTCCTCTGCGACCTCCACGAGCTCGAACACCCGACCTTCTAGGTCCTCGTGGTCCAAAGTCAGAATCATTGTCGGATGTTTCAGAATCAGAAGATTCTGTAGAAGATGATAAATCATTTGTTTTATTTTCTTCTTCTTGATTTACTGTTGTTGATTTTCGATTTTCTAATTGAAGAGTAGTAAGATTTCGCAAAACATTAGAGTTTGAAGATTTAGGAGCATTTGGTATTTGTGAATTAGAAATAGGTGTTTTTCTTGGACGACCAACAGGTTGTTTAGTCTTTATTATTGACTTTACTGGAGATGCTGTCATTTGAGTTGAATTTTCTATTGCTGTAAATACTGTTGATTGCGATTGGTGATGCATTGTGAGATTAATCATACCAGTATTATCATTTTCAGGCGAGTTCACTATTGGCAAAGGATCTAGTGGTTCTGGATCCAAAGGTGATGACCGGCTCGTGTAACAATGATCTAATTCTACAGCATATCTTATAGAATTCTGATGTTCTTCAACTGTTAACATATCTTAAATAAAAATAAAAAAAAAAAACAAATTAAAATTAATTGATAAAAATAATAATCAATCATAACATAAAACTAAAATAATTGTATTAATAGAAAATTAACAAACCAAGCATCGCAGCAACATTTTCGCCCAGTATTTGCTTTGCTTCTTCACTCTGTAGAGCAGTTTCAAGCTTCTCCAACTGTTCTGGATCCATTGCCATGAAAGGATCATCAAGGTTAGTATCAATGTTACTGGGTGCTGTGATTGGAGAATCACTATGTTCAAAATTTGATGGATCCACTGTGAATGTTAGATTACCATCATTTTCAGTTTGTCCTACTCTCACAACGCTAACATTTGCATTTGATTTGTTTACTGAAAATAATGTATGTTTATTATAACCAATCACTTTTAAGCTTTATTATTGGATATGAAATAAAAACCAACTTAATAAATTTTGTAAAGTTTCTTGATCAACAGCCATAGTTCCATCATCATTGATCACAATAATAAAATTATCATCTTTTTTAGAATCCTTCTCATTCTCATGAGGTTCTATAATGTAAGTGCTGGACATAGTGAAGTAGTCTGCAAATAAAACACATTTAAACATTAGCCAATGTTTAAAATAAAATTTTTATTATAATTAAATTCTATTACACTTATTTAACTATAGCTATGAAGGAATGTTAAAAAAAATTATCGCGCGCTCTATTAATAATAACGAACTGAATAAGAGAAAATAACCATCGGCCATCTTGTTAGGTAAAATAAAGAGTAGAGTGTATAGTTAAACACACGCACACATTTATAAAGGGGTTGATACTTATACATACATAGTAATTATGAATATATGACGATAATTTGGTCAAAATAAGGTTTTTATCGTGACGAAAAATTTTTTTATAAAATATCGTAAATGATATGTCACTTGTCATGCGAAAAGTCGCGTTGTTATCAGTGATACATAATGCCCTAGCTCACCATACTTGATGCGCGTAAACTTGCTGCAATGTCATTCGTCGCGCAGCTCAAGCGCTAAATCAAACAAGAATTTTCATTGAAAATTATTAACAAAAATTATATTTGTAAGAAAATGGTAGTGAAAGATTCACAAAATTTTAATAAAATCATATCAATTTATTTAAAAATACTTTTATTATTGCAAGTACGTATGAATATATTATTATGAGTTACTGATAAAGCTGGATTGTAAAAAGTATTTATAAAAAAAAAATGCATCCGTCTTGGGGTAAAGAACCGCGAGTTTATAAAAATTTATCGTTAAGGAAAATTTTCGTAAGTTAAAACGTTCAGATTAATACACGTAAAAGACAGTCGAGTCTCGTTATGAGTCCTATTAGTGTCTCTCATATTAAAGAGAGTCTGGTTGAAAAAAAAAAAAGAAAACAAATAGGACTCATAACGAGACTCGACTGTATATGGATTGTAATACTTAGTATTCTATTAATATTTATTATTCTTATTTTTAATATAAATTTCCAGAAAAGTTAGCGTAAGCTCAATTCAGAGTTGTTTCTAACTATATCTAATCTTTAATAATAATTAATTTTTTTCGATGATTACTATTTTTAACTTGTTTTTTTTTTTTTTCTCAAATTTAGAAGTTCTCTTCGGACTCACCAAAATATTGTTATGAGAAAAAAAGATAAAAAAAAATAAAAAGCAGAAAATTAAAAAAAAAATTCGTTCGAATAATTTTTTTGTATTTTTTTTTTTTTTTCGAAAAGTACATTCAAAAACAAAAATTAAAAAAAAAAACGTCGCAATAAGTCAAATTTTGAAAAAGTAATAGCTATTTGAAGAAAAAAAAAAAAACAAAACAAAACAAAACTCTTTTTTTCAAAAATTCATAATTTTTTTTTATTAATGGACGAAAAAATTTGAAAAAATTCTGAAAACCGTTTTTTATAGGGTAGAAAAGGATAGAAAATTTTCAGCCAAATCGATTTGGCGTGAAATGCCTCATAAATGAAATTTCGATCAATGCCAACTTAAAGAAACAACACTTGTTTAATTTAAGTAATACTTTAAATAAGTAAAATAGCGAATAAAAAAAAATTCATCAGACAATATTTATTTTTTTTTTATACTAGAAATTTAAATAGCGTGCTACCCGCGCGCCTTAATTTCGACCAATAAGAAATCAGGTCTCATTTTTTTGCGAGTTTCGACTATTGACTAACTTCACACTCCATGTATTTTTATTGTAGAGATGGGCTGATTCTGAATTCTGAAAAAGAAAACTTGAAAGAAAAGAAAGAAAGCGGTAATTTACTATAGCGGAAGTTTCGATATTGAAATTAGCAGACATTTAAAATTTTAATGATTTTTAACCAATAAATTTGTACTAAAAATATATATCAATAGTTAATATATCTTTTGTAATTACAAAAAATTACACTCATAGTTCTTGATAATTCACATAAGGTAAGAGCCCCAATAGATGATCATGTACCACTGGTCTATTGATCTATTGGGGCTTTTACCTTACCTGTGAAATTTTTTTCCAATTTTCTTCATAATGGTTTTTTTACTAAAAAAAATCTTCAAAATTGAATGATATCTGTTAATTTCAGTTTTATACGGCAGTTTTTATGTATATTATGTGCTTTATTTTGAAATTTCCCCAAAAAATAATTGAAAAATTAGAAAAATAAAATTTCTAAATCCACAATTTTTGTTCGTGAGGTGGCGCACTTACATCTAGTAACCTAGCTTAAAACTATTTAACAATTCGAGGCTTGTGTGATGCACCTAGTGCATCCAGCTGGTGACGCTACCTGTTATTAGAGGGTGCCACAACTTAGTCCTAACAGAGACTATACAAAACGTAATGTTTTTAGTAAGGTGCACTATCCCAAACGTCTGATATCGAGATAAGCACATTTAAGAAATGTGATACTTGCCGAAAATTAGTTTTCATAAACGTTACTTAATCCTAAAATGTATATGCTAGAAATGTTATGTCTAAAGAACGTTCATGTTAAGAAACGTTATATTTCAAAAATGTAAAGCTTCTAAAAGCGATAGCGTCACAAGCGTGCCATTTGTAAATCGTTCAAGGCTCTAAACGTGATGTTTCCCTAACGTCATATACGTTTAAAAAAATTCAGCCGCGTTACCGACTGCAAAACAAGTCTAATTCAATCGATATTATAGATTTCTTATGATACTATACCTGGAAATTTTCGTCTATAAAATCACACTGTCATATGTGCAAACGTCAAAAATTTTATTTGACAAAAATTTAAGTCAGAATGATATTGATGAGCAAACTTAAATCCTCTTTGAGTTGTGAGAACACAATAGTTGAAAGTCACTGGACCATTTGATTGTAGCATAGAGAACACACTTAATCAATTAAAAGTTTCAATAATTTCGAAAAAAATAACCAATGCAACAGCAAATTTAATAAAAAGATAGGAGAATGTAATTTTTATTTAAACATATATATACATACTTATATAAACTTTTAAGCCATATGTATTATTTTCTAAATTAGTTGACGAGCTGAGTCAAAATATATCGAAATTTTTCAAAAGTTTCGTCATGAAGACCAATGCAATAGTTAGATTTTCATACGATTCTCTACCATTATTTTTGTTTTTTTTTGCATTTACCACCAAGTTGTTTTTTCCCACATATTTTTCTATTTCTTTTAACATATCTCTTAATCCACTGGCTGTGTCCGCTATTATCGCCGCATCATCCGCATATTTTGCTATAAAAATCTTTTTTTTTCCTATTACTGTACCTCCTACATTCTTTGATTGCTATTTCCATGTCATCTATAAATAGGTTGAATAAAATTGCACTCAATGCACACCCCTGTCTGACACCTTGGTTTATCTCGAACTCCTCTGATTTCATACTCCCTAGCTAAATTTCACTTGTTGTTTTTTTGTAAATCTCCACTATCATGTTTCTCATTCTTCCGCTTATACCTGCCTCTGTTATTTTTTTAATTAATATTTTTCTGTCCACTGTATCGAACGCTGCCTTTAAATCAATGAATCCTATGTAAAGCTTCTCTTTCCTCTTAATCTTGTTGTTTATCAGAGAGTTTATTAATGTTATGTGGTCTCTGGTGCCTCTTTTCCTCTTCTAAAGCCTGCTTGGCTTTCATCTATTTTTTTCTCTCTGTCAGCCCATGCCATAATCCTATCTGCCATTATTGTCGTCAATATTTTGTATCCTATATTGAGCAGTGATATTCCTCTATAATTTTCTGTTTTTTCCTCATCTCCGCATTTGAATATTGGCACGATCCTTGCTTTTTCCCACCCTTCCGGAAGTCTGCTTTCTCTCCATATTTCGTTTATTATTCCTCTTAGTTCCTCAATCAGTTCCCGTGGCAAATTTTTTATAAACTCCGCTTTTATTGCGTCCTCTCCTGGCGCTTTGTTGTTCCCTAACTTTCTTATTGCTTTTACGAATTCAAGTCTACCAATGTCCTTATTCCACTCATTTTCTTCTTCTTCGTTTTCCCTGTCTTCCTCTCTACCTTCTGCTATATGAGCTTCTTCTTTTTTATTTAATAATTTTCTAAAATGTGTCACCCACGTTTTTCCACTTATTTTGTTCCCACAATTTCCCTTTTTATTTTTTTTTCTAAACTTGTTGATTGCTTCCCACCATTTGCTCATGTCTTTCGCTTTGTTAATTTCATTTCTTTTTTCATCCCACCATTCCTCTTTTGCTTTTTTTATTGTGCTTTTATACTCCTTTTTCGCATTTATTAATTCCATTTTGTAACCTGTATTGTTACCATCTTTTGCTCTTGTCAGGTTTTTTAGCGTTTGCCACACTAATTCTCTTTTTTTTTTACAGTCATTAGTTTAACGATCTTGTTTTTAGTTTACATATTGGTTATTGGTTACGATCATAAATTATATTGATTAAAAACAACAATATACTCGACATAATAAATATTCTACAACATATGATTTAAAACATAAACTTTCTAATTTGAACAGTTTCAACTATTTCAATTAAGAATTAATAAAATGTTTAAAATAATCCAAATTATATTTAAGTTTGCGCTTCACTGACAGATAGTGTCACCTGCTGAATACATCGAGAGGCATCGCACTACATAAAGATAAGTTACAATTATTTATGTATATTGCAGTGTATGTATGTACATAGTAATATGTCCAGTTAGTATCCAAGTAAAGCCTATAACATAAATAACATAATATCCTGACTGCTCTCAATGTACTTTTTCGTCCTAGGCGGACGTATAGGGGTTTTTACGCGCAGACGACACTCAATTTGTAAATAATACGCGTACGCGCCAGTATCTACTGGGCTGTATAGAACTTTATACAATCGAGGACAATGTCACGCAAGCGTCACCAATCTCTATACAGCCGAGTAGCTTACGTTTCAACTGTCATTTTAAATTAAAAATGCACCTTTAACTAACTTCAAGACTTTCATGTATTTTTATTTAGAGTATTAGAGGGTTATGGCGTCGTACGCTATTTATTTATAAATTGAGTATCCCCTGCACGTAAAAACCCGCATACGTCCGCCATAGGACGAAAAATTTTTTAAGCA